TGCAATTTTTATTCTGGATACAAACAAGACACACACAAAAAAAAACATTTTACAATCTGCAGTAATTAATAAGCACAGTTTACTAAATGTTTGTTTTGCACTCTGATCAGATCTTTATAAGACGTCAAGGAGCAAAACAGTGTTAGTTTATCTCTTACTTGTGTTCCTGCATCAGTCTCTGTGTTCCTTCACCACAGTTAAACAGATACCTGCATATGAAAAACATGCTAACATTGTCGAATCACTTTCATCAACAAACATTATATACTGCTTAGACAGTCAGTGGTTCATGCATATTCAAATAGGAATATATACGGAAGTATAGAAATGCATTTATATATTCATTAAACAGATGCTTTCAGCAAAGACAGATAAATGTATGAATCAAGAATTTCATGCCATTTTATTGTGATCTTTCATTACTGATCTCTTAACAATGGGAATTTTTATAAATGTTTTGTTTTTAAATAAAATATATAGTAGGCGATTTTATACATTCAAATAAAGTTAAATAATAATCAAATAAATTTTATGACATATAATTTACAGCTACTAGCTAGCACTGAGACTTTGTAAAAATCTTTAAAATCATTCCTCAACTAATATAATCGCATTATTATATTATATAAAGTTTAGCAGTAAATTATTTTGAAGTATCATTATACATTTTAAATCATATGTTCATAAGTTTGATTTATTTTTATGAAAGTACATAAATATAAACGTTATATTTTATATAAAGTAAATAATGCATATCTCCATTTATAAAGTACTGATTTGTTAAGCATTACATAATATGATAATATTTGCACTATTATTAATTTTATACAGCATTATTACTATTATTATTGCTATTATTAATTATTATTATTATTAAGCATTTAATGTTATATATTTGTTTATTTATTAGTAACACTGCATAATCAATTTACTGAAATATCTATTCATTAATAATTCACCAAAAATTATGTATACTGCTTTTATCTAAGGCAAACACATGTATGAATTAAAGTTGCAAGATAGTTTTATTTGTGTGTGTGTGTGTTTGAAAATATTTTTTTTGTTTTCAAATGAAAGTTAAATGTTTATATAAATAATCAAATAAACAGTCAAAACGTTTACACACACATTCAAATAAAGTCAAATAATAATCAAATAAATTTGATGATATATAATTTACAGCTACTAGCTATAAATTATAATAAATAACAAACAGTCAAAAAGTTCACACACACATATATATATATATATATATATT